AATGTGAAGGCAGCTATTAGTTGCAGTCAGACCACAGAGATTGGCGGGGATCTCAGGCTGGTTTTGTTGGTCAGTCATTTGTAGATCACCCGTGGGGTCTGCGCAGGGTGGTGCACAAGTATGCGGTTCATCCATATGATCCTGGTCAGCCATTTGCAAATCCCTCGTGGGGTGTACGCCATGTCGGATTAAATGCAGTCCAAGCAGATCATGTTCCAGTCCCTCAGCGTTCGGGGCCACACAGGGAGGGGCACAAGTACGCGGTTCATCCATATGATCCTGGTCAGCCATTTGCAAATCTCCCGTGTGGTCTATGCCTTGCGGGGTTAAATGCAGTCCGAGCTGATCATGTCCCAGGCCCTCAGCGTTCGGGGCCACATCGTGAGTAGGGACTGTCGTTGGGAGTGTACTCTGGGCAGGGACCATATCCTGTTGCACAGCTGGGGGACAAACGAACATGGAAGGGCATAAGACATGGTGTTGTGGTTGTGTGCAAGCAGCTGGACGGTCTGCAGGAGGCGTATGAGTGGATGTATCAGTTTGGGACATCGGAACCGCAACAACCCGTGGAGGAGGCACAAAGAGAATTGGGGTAGACAAAGAAGCAGGCCGCTGATCCGTTCAAGTGGCGATGTTGTGCATGTYGTCGACGATGATACACAATAAGAGGAGCGGCGATGTTTCTAACAGAAGATGTCACTAGCAATGAAGGCGGAACAATGGGAAGAATAGAAACCGGAGAATCGGTTCTCAAACGAGATCGTGGAGGAGATGGGGGTGGCGAGGAGGAACGCAGCCGTCTGCAGCCAAGCACAGAAAGGGATGAAAGGGGGGTGGATTCGGCARGATGTCGGAACATAGGACGCGAGTGTCGGGCTGGGGTAGAGGAAGCTATACCAGTAAAAACTATAGCATGAGAAATTCGAGGTACAGAAGCAGAGGAAGCGGTAAAAAGTGGAACCGCAGCAGAGACAACTGTTGTAGTAGGAACCGCAGCAGAGGCAACTTTCGTAGCAGGGACCGCAACGGAGGCAACTTCCGTAGCAGAAACTGCTGGAGTGAAACCCGGAGTTGAGACAACAGCAGTAGAAACTGCAGCAGTGGAGACCACAGCGGCAGCAGCAGTAGATACTGCAGCAGTGGAGACCACAGCGGTGGAAGCGGCGGCGGTGGGAACCGCAATAGTGGGAACTACATTAGCAGCAGATGAACAAGCAGTGACAGGACGAGCAGCGGAGGCAACTTCCGAAGCAGAAACTGCTGGAGTGAAACTTGAAGTTGAAACAGCAGCAGTAGAAACTGCAGCAGTGGAGACCACAGCGGTGGAAGCGGCGGCGGTGGGAACCGCAACAGTGGGAACTGCATTAGCAGCAGATGAACAAGCTGTGACAGGACGAGCGCGATGTGGGGATAAAGAAGAAAGTGGGTGATGCAAGGACCATCGCAGCATGCGTCGGAACCACTGAGAGAGACGGGTGACGTGTGTAGGATAGCGACATTGGCGGGAGCGTGTGTAGCAGGTCCATCCTTTAGCGAGGGTTGGTGGGGAATGGCCACGAGAAAGCATGCGACGAGTGAGTGTTGTCGCTGCAGTTCGGAAGTCCTGCCAATTATTGCAGATGCGTTCAAATCTGGTCAATTGCCCAGTGAACACAATTGCTGGTTGATGGGAAGGGATGTTGGAGGTAACACTTGGATAGCGAATAACAGGGAAATCCCTAGCAGCCGCTTTATCAAACACGCTCATGCGAAGCGAACCATCAGAACGTACCCGTAGATGCACACCTAAAAAGGTACACGAGCCATCTGTAGCCGTAGTTTCCTTCCACTCAAGCCCATAGTGCTCTGAAGGAGGAGGTAATTGCCCCCATGAAAGAACATCATCAATGAGGCGGTAAGTGAAGGCGTATCGCTGAGCAGCTTGGGGATCATGTTGACGAATGTCATCAATAAAGCGTGCTTCATCCCAATAGAGCGTTAGATTGGAGATTTCTGGACCAGCATTTGTTCCCATTGGAATACCAATACTTTGCTTTCGAAGAGTGCCATCTCTAGTATACAGAAAATTGTTTTCGACAACAAAGCGAAGATGTTGGAGAATCTGAGAAACGGAAAGGCTGTCTGGTCCTGAATCGGTTGTCCATTGGCCAGAGCAAGGCCCGCGAATRAACATGTTCAAGGCTCTGCAGTGCGAATGCATGCGGGTATGCTGAAAAGCATAAGCATGAGCTTCATCAACAGCCTTTGCCACATTATTCAAAATGCGGTCATGAGGAAGGTTSGTGTACATTGTGGTGAAATCAACCGCGCGAGGAGAGAGGCCACGTAGAGAGGACACATTGTTTTTCAGGTCAATCGCCACCTCATCGGCACTCTGGACGATCCAGCACCGTCGAACACCTTCCTGTTGATAGAGCTCAGTGTCTTTCTCACGAAGAGTAGAGATCACGCCTTGCAAAGCAGTGCTGAGACMGGACGAAGTAGCCGTTGTGCTAGCCAAGGGTTTGTGAGGAGGCCGTTCATKAATGGTGCGAATWGAAGGACGAGAGCGAGTGCRTGGGGGGACAKGACAAGTATTYTGTGCTGTGACTCCAAGAATGCTRCGAAGAGCTGGAGGAGACTTGTGGGCTTTCAACACATAGTATAGGTAAGGCAGGGTATCAGTGTGGGTATAACCCCAATGGTGATTCCATCGTGCATGGTGGTTGAGCATATGAGCGACGGATTCATGAGGACGAGTATAAGTGGGACTGTCCAAATGGGTGTTCTTGCAACAAATTGCCAAATTGTGGGATGATTTGTCCACAGGGACAATGGCAAAGTGTTGTTGCAGATGGCGTAAGGAGGCATGTGCACAACGAAGTGAATGTTGYTGGCTCACATGATTGGAAGACGAAGTCGCATTGGATTGACAATGCCCAAAGATTGCAGAACGCCAGCTGTGCAATTTATGAAAAAGGGACGAGAAAGAAGCAGATCGAGAGTGTCTAGCAAATGTATTCTYGTAACTGGCAATGTACTCATCGAGTCCGATCGCCAGTGCTTGGAGCACATCAGCAGTTTCCCCGTTTAAACGATATTTAAAACCTTCTTCAAAAAGCTTACGAAGGTTATCGTCTGAGATGATATTATAATCAACAGAGATAACATGGTCGTCCACAAGATCTGAACAATGCGGAAAGGCCTTGCGGCATTCGCAGTTCAAGGAGTCTGGTAAGGTCATGTCAGGAGCAACACTCAATGCCACATCAGTAAAGTTGCAAAATTGGACACGTGTGGGTGGCATCAACTTGTCACATACACGAACATGTGCRGCCGCTTGCGGGTCAGGGTGCAATGCAACTACTTCTGGCAACTGCAACACATGGCGCAAGTTCGTGGCACGAACTACCTCATGCACATGTACGACCTTAATATGGTCTGTAAACGGGTCATGAGGTTGTGTTGTGTAACGTTGGCGGGTATGCTGGGATTTTCGGATGAGGCATTCGAGTTCTCGAATGTCTGCTGTCATGTCCGCATTGGAAACATTGTTATAAAGCCATTGCAAAAGTCGTGCCCGCCACGCTGGTTGTGCCCGCTCAATGTCAGCCTTGACACGACACCAGTTACCCGAAGCAGCTTCATGAAGAAGGCGATGGAGTGAGGTACGAATTATGAGTTGGGGACYTGGACGAAGATCAATAGCAAATGACGGAGGCGAAGGTGTTGGGAGGAGAGGCAAAGGCCGAGAGGGTGTTGGCAAAAGAGGTGCAACATGGGAGCCAACGGGTGTCGGCAAAATGGGTGATGTGTGAGGAGGATTAGGTGATGCAGGAAAGGGTGGAGCAGGTGAGGGCTGAGCAAAAGGGGGTGTCGGCAAAAGGGGTGATGTGTGAGGAGGATTAGCTGATGCAGGAATAGGTGGAGCAGGTGAGGGTTGAGCAAAAGGGGATTGCGGAACGAACGGCTGAGGGCCCATTTATGTCCATCGGGAAGGACGTAAATGCCGCCGTGGAGATGGCAATCTAGCCATTGGAAGGACTGTAATGAAACCAACTGGGTGAAGCGTTCGAAGTTTTCGAACCCAAAAACCCTCGCGGGGTTTAGCAACCCTCCGAAAGAGGCCATGATCAACAAGACCTCCAGACGTATGATACAAAGTAGGATCGATGCATTCTAGGGGCCAAGCCGCGAAGTTGAATGATGGTTGCCCACTCATTGTGCGGTAAAAATGGCGATGGTGAAAAGTAGCAGAAGAGTGTCGTGTATGCCAATGCTCTTGCAGCCTTTGGTGTGCAGAATGCATCGTCTGTCCAACATAAAAACGACCAGAAGGTAAATGAACAATTGCATAAATCACTCCTCGAACAGCGACGGGGTCCATACCTGGCTCAAGAGGTTGTTGATCAACACCTCGCAATTGTAACTCAAAACGCTCGGCCTGCACAACATTGTTAAGATGACGGAGTTGTTTCTTGCGCCATCTTCCTGCAGAATACAAGTTAGTATTCCACTCCAGGTGTATATATATATAAACTCCGACGAAACAGTTTGTCACAGCCCCTCGTTTGTTCTCCTCTTCTCTCTCTGTGCCTACGGTTTATCGGGCAGTTCTATTTGTGATATATATCGTCAAACAGAGCTGCCCGGTATTGTTGGGGTGTTTCGTTTTGTGGGCCTACTGTATGGTTCCGTTTTTTTTAATATGGATATGGTAGATTTGTTATGGTAATCTTGTCTGCATCCCGGTTGGTTTTGTCTCACTATTCGGTCTATTCAGTCAGCAGGTAGCGGTGCTTTATGTGGGACCACTCATCCAGGCTTTTTTATTGTTTTGGCATCCTGGTTGGTTGTTTCCCGTTGTTCGGCCTTTTGGAACGCGGGGCGGTGCTTGCATGTGGGAATCGTCATCCGGGATTGTTTTTTATATCGGTCCTCCGCGTTCTTTTTGATTTTTTTGCAGACAAGAATGCTTGACATCCTGGTTGGTCTTGTCCCGTCGTTTGGTCTGTGGGCAGGGGCGGTGCTTGCATGTGGGACTTGTCATCTGGGATCTGTTTTGTTGCCCCCTGTTCTGTATTATTTGGCTGTTCCCTTCCTCTTTTCTTTGCTTCTTTGCCTTTTGGCTGTGTGAAAGTGGGTCGATATGACACCCGGGGGTGGGGGCAGCCGCCGCTCAACCTACATCCACGTGGGCGGCCTTGTACGCAAGAGGAAGAAGATAAAAAACTGAATTAATTTTTTTCTGTTTTTCGTTCTTTGTTTTTTCTTTTTTTTTTGCATTTGCGCTATGATATTCTTGTGACAATATATATACACGATTTTGTGACAATATATATACGCCTGTGTAGCATCACGTTCGAGACCGAACTCGAACGAGCGTCGAAACTCTCCAAACGCGAAAAAAAAAAAAAAAAGTTCTTCAAAAAATCTGAAAAAATATATGTTATCTAAAATAATAATACAAACAACTTTTGCCTTGGAGGTTTGGTCAAATTCGTACCCAACTCGAGTTAGAAATAAAAAACCAAGAATTTTTTTTTTTTTTTTTTTTGAATATGTTCGGCCGAACACGTTCGGGTGGCGTTCGGCCGAACACCCGAACATGTTCGGACGTTCGGAAAAGCTCCGAACATGTTCGGTGTGCTACACAGATATACGCAAGAGGTTCTGAACAGGGGGAGTTGTAAGAAAGAAGATAACAAAAGTTACAAAACAAATTATTATTTTTTTGTTCTCTTCTATTTTTTTTTGCTTTGCGCTCTGATATTCATGTGACGATATATACTCCAACGTTGCTAACTCTCTGCTTTTGTAGATGATGTAGCGAGCGTCGGGCTTGTACTACCAGGCTCTTTTTTGGTTATGGTAGAAAATATTTCCCTAATCCTCTTGCTACCATTTCTCCTTTTTTTTGCTTTAATCTTCCTCATTTATGGGGTGTTTCGTTTTGTGGACGTACTGTATGATTTCGTTTTTTTTCTATGGATATGGTAAAATTTGTTTTGGGAACCTTGTCTCCATCCCGGTTGGTTTTGTCGCGTTGTTCGGCCTGTGGTGAGGGGGCGGTGCTTTTATGTGAGAATTGTAATCTGGGATTGTCTTTTATGTTTTTTGTCCCAGTATGAATGGTTTACAAATGGGAATACAAACGTCTTGCTGACGAATAAGGCCATCTGTTGTATATAGATATGTATCTGGATTCTTTTTTTTTGCAGACAAGAGTTTTCTCTTGGGTGATTTTGTCGGGCGGTGCTTGTATGTGGGACTTGTCATCTAGGATCCGTTTTTGGTGCTGTTGCTTGTTGCCCCCTGTTTTGTTGTATTTAGTTGTTCCCTTCCTCTTTTCTTTGCCTCTTTGCCCTTTGGGTGTGTGCAAGCGGGTCGATATGACACTGTTACATGCTGCGTCTGCAACAGGCTGCACGGGCCATTTCCAGGCCC